ATGCTTCTATAATTTTTTTTTATCTTTTTATTTAATTTTAATGAAAATGCATTCCTTCGAGTTTAAGCACTTGGTTGTATGCACGATTAAAATGTTACTAATTCTTGTGTGCCATATAGTAATGTTATGTTAAATGTATTTTGATTTTGCAATCGCATTTCGTGTATAGCACTCGTCGTTTATTCTGTGGAATTAGTTTCTATATTTTAAGATTTTTTTTTAATTTTAAAACATTTTAAATAGACGAAATCCACTACAAAACATATGACATATGTATGAACTTGTTATAAATCACGTATTTTAAATCACAGTATTTTATCAATATTACTAGCTTTTACAAAAAAAAATATGGCTGACTACTAGTTCGGATTACAATTTATTACAGCATAAAGTATAATTTGTTAGGTGCCTTATACTTGTACACTTTATATGAAAAAAAATCACATTGCATCGTATACCTGTAGAAAAAAATTTAATATAATACCAGAAAAAAAAACGTTACAGATTTGAGGCGGAAAAGAACAAAGTTTGAGTCACCCTACCTGAGGAGTTTCTCATTACGTAGACGTCTTATAGAGAGAAAACTATTTTCCGACGGTACGACAATATTATTCGATTAACAATTCTACAAAATAGTTCAAATAAACAGCTTATTTTGCAATGTGCACCATACTAATGATACGCGTCACATTATTTTCTCATTTCGATATCACACGCATTTCAAATATATCCTCAAAAATAATATTTTTTAGCGATTTGGTATCGGGAATTTTACTTGACTTTACCAATGTAACGTCAGAAATGGATTTTCTTCTCATCTATTTAAAAAATTTAGATTTTTATCGATAATGCGGTGTTTATAATGAAGCATCAAAGTCGTTCAATTTTTAAGACAATTGAATCATTTGATCTTTTTTAACTATGTCTATTATTATAGATATATTTAAGGAACAGCAAATTCAAGCCGGACTTACTATTCCAATAAAACTGTGTACGAATAATTGAATACAAATTGTGCTATAAAGAAGCAATATTTCAGTAAGATTTTACAATATTAATATCATATTTCATAAATTTTTCTTTGAAACGCAAACAGATCCTGGAAGGGTAAACTCAACATTTTTCTTTTCTTTTTTATTGTTATTACATATTATTGTATTTTATTAAACATAATGTTATGACAAATGTATTGTTGAAGGAATTATTAAATAATTTTATATATGTATATGTATTGTAGAGAAATTTAATTTGAATAAGATATGAAATTAACAGTGATGTATATATAAAATATGATTAGTATTGTATATCTTAGAAGCGTGAACGTATTATTTTATGTATGTACGCAAAGCGAGTTTTTGTTAATAAATGTTATTTTTGTGGATTATTAAGCTAATGGCAATATCACATTAAGGATGATTATACGAAAACTTTTATAAGAAAACAACTCACAATCTCTGGCTTGTGTGTTCAGCTTAAGCTTTAATTTGTGTAGCGACATATTTAATTATATTTATATGCATATTCAACATTTTACAAATAATATTTCAAATCTCTTAATCCTATAACTTCAGGCGCTTTTGAACTGATTTATAAACAGATACAAATTAAGTATTAATATACAAAACCCACATTAATTTTTATAATTATGCTTTATGAAAAAATAGTGGCTTTTATTTATTTAACTCTAGTAGTAAATTTTTAAGCTAGATTTAAGCTTGTCTTTAGGTATTCTTTTATTTCAAATCACTAACGATTACGTTTTAATTAACATTATAATTCTTATTTTTATGGGTTTCATTGCAATATATGTTTACTTTCCCTGAAGCATTAAGACGTCACTAAACTTGTTATATGATTATTAAGCTTAGTAATTATGTCTTCGACTGGATGGACTAAAATAGCAATGAAACTCTATAACAAATATGTGGTTGTTATTCATATTTTAAGATGTAAAGCTAAATACGATGCTCAAATAAATCAGGGGAAATAGCTCCAGCGTTTACTTGTAATACATCATCTCTATGTATATCCGATTTAATCCTTAACCTACGCTAAGCCGATGTGTCTAATCATGCTCTTGGGTGCTCTGACGGGTGTGCGTGTTATCTGTTACAGCATATGCCCAAAAGTGGGAGCAGCTGTTAATACAGCAACGTGATATTCTGAACGCCGCGCTCGACCAAGTCAGCCAGTTCCGCGGGCAGCTGTTACAGGAGGAACAAATCAGCCAGAAGATGACCCGAATGCGCAACATCTCAACGCGGTACAATTAAAAATGTCACCCCTAACGAACGCAAAAAAAAAAAAGACACAAAAAGTAATTATTTCTCATCGGTGAAAAAAAAAGTCCGCTTCTTATGTGTGTATCGACTCTTAATTACAAGCGCGCGCGAAAAGCAGATATGCCATGACACTAGTGCGACAGTCATAGGAACGCAAAATGTAACAAATGTCTTGCCTTCGAAATTACTACGAAATGTACGTCGTCGAGATAGCAAAGAGCTCGACTCGTAAATCTCACCCTAGCGATCTTGTATCATATAACAATTCTTCTCGAATGGTTCTCCAATGTAAAATGAAAGAATAAGAAAAGAAAATTCCGCAGGAAGGGATACGTAAGCCGAAGTATGGCAAGCATAATAACAATAGTTGCTTAAGGATTCACCAGCGAAAAATTAATTATTTGTTTTTACCGCATTAGATATGTTCGTCTCGGCGGAAGTCGGCGAAGAACTTTTTTTTAGCCAAGATTTCTAATTAGTGCCTCTTTTAGTTTCGAACCGTAGGAAATTTTAAGCAAATCCGAAATTTTTCGCGAAGATAATAAATGAACGCACGTTTTGAGTTTGGCTCGGGGATCAAAATTTCATCAGTATGTAATTGCATATTTATCGAAATGAGTTCTTATGTGTTTTACATATTTTTTGGGCCGCACCGAGACCAGCAAAATTTTAAGCCGTCAACGACACATCGATACTCAATTGATTGTACAATTTGTTCGTCATTGAGATGCAATGCACCGCAAATGATAATGCATAAGTTATTTCGCCGTCAGATAAACACTCGTTTTTTTTTTTAGACTGTAGAATGCTAGGTGTATTGTTACGAGGGACCCAGTATATTATTGGATAAAAGAAAAAAGCCTTAGTGAGCCGATTTGCCGGGAAATGCAGAGATATATCATGGCGATACCCTGTATACACTCATTTAACACACGCATATACAAGTGCATGTACACACACACACGCGATCGACTCTTTCATAAACCAAATATCGACTGATTTCGAGAGAATGAACAAAAAAAAAAAGAATGTAACTCTTAGCTCTTAAGAAACTATCGAGCGGCGCTCATCCGGATATTTAAGTTTTTTAGTATTAATATCGTCGACGGCATCAAACGGTCCTCTTTTTTTCTTACGTTATTAAAAGTATGAGATTAAAATCTTCATTTGATTTATCAATGCATACTCTTGTGTTTTCTTCCTCACTTTATCGAATCGCAATGTTCGCGAAGCGGTCTCAACGCGCGTTTAACAAACAGCAAGCTTAACAAGCTTTATTACGGATACGTCCAACAGAATACCGTCGATTTTTATCACGATTATAGAGCTACTACGGTGAAGTTTTAATGTTTCCCTTTAATGCCTTTATGGACATATTTCCTTTTTAACCTTTCAGAGGAGATTGATTCTTCGTAAGGTATAAAACAAGAATTTTAATCCCATCCCGTTTCTGATCTCCATATTTTCTAAGATACATCGCGATAATTGATATCAATATGATGCTAATATTATCTGGAATTAATATAAAGATAGAAAACAACTTTCTTTGGCCGAAAAAGAGAAGCAGACCTGATAATGTTCAGCATTCGTATATAAATTAAACATAGCAATTTTGTTTTTCCTTTGTATTTTACTGCCGGTTTCTCGGTATTTGTTTCTAATAATTCGCGTCTAAAATATATTACCTTATCTTGTTATTCGTGCAGGCCGACTAATTTTGTCTATCATGATTTGTTGAAGATCATTGCATTACGATGCAAGAAAATATATCGCACTGCAGTCGCACTAGACAATAGAGAATTAAGAAGATTTATAACGTGTATCGCACGTCACACGACTTTATCTCTCTTGAAGATTTTATTCCAGATGCCCGTTCTTATATAAGCGTAAAATCCTCGTGCGTGTCAGTCTCGCGAGTTAACAATCATTACTACGTGTGTATGCTCGATTTTGTAAACGTGTAATGTTCTAATGACTCGAGGGAAGTTACTCTCGGTCTTGGAACTTAGAGATAAATTAACAAAGTAACAATAATAACGCGCAGATAGATGAGAGTAACGGAGCATCAACCTTTCTGTGTTGACAAGATTCACGATTTTTTATATAAATATATAGAATACTCGGCGCGGAGTTGTAAAGAAATTGTTTGAGATTACTGTTGTATTAAAAAATGAGATAGTCACGCATACCGCTGAGAGCATCCTCTAACTTAACGTAGCATACTTATCGAGTATGTAATATTGATCGAAAATTGTGATCACATATTAGCGAGTTGTGCTTCGCTTATCGAAAAAATTCATCCCTCGCTACATATCCGACATTTCTGCGATGGTTGCTAAATATGTGTCGCCTTGATTAACAGACGCTAAACGTTTCCGAGGCAGTTCGCGGCTGCTGTAGCTCAGGCATATACGATATTTCCCCAATGTCGAGATTTTATAATTTAGCTTTTCTTCGAGATCATGAAAACAAAATTCGCGTTTCACCACCTCGAATATAGTATTTTTTAATAAATAATGGCGCGATAGAGAGAGATGAGGCTTAGTAATCGAAGGATGTTAATATACTTCTTATTTTTTTATAACTGTATAATTTATGCGAAAGGAGACGAGTAAATCAAATATACGACACGTATCCTCCCCCACATCCCTCCCCTATTATATGTCGTATTTAATAGTCGACTTCTGAACTATTCTAATTCGATGTGCACAGAAAAGTTTTGGATACGTATGAGAGGTTTCACGTTGTTGCTTTATGAATGAAATAAATCAGATTGAAAAATAAACATTCAGTTATGTTCCTCATCCTAACTAGTATATCTCAAGATTTAAAAAAAAAATGGTACGCCAATAGGAAATTAGAGACGTTTTCCAGCGAGAGACAGATAACACAATGTGACAAATGAATGATTATATCCTTGTCTGCTAATATTAAACAAAGATAAAATTATTCACTATGTTACACTGTCTCTTGCTGAAAAGCGCTGTAGTTATATAAAATTTCGTGTGTAGTAAAATTGCATTTTTCTGATTTTTAACACAGCCTTCTTACTCGATCTTTGTGTTTGAATTATTAGAAACGCTAAACCTGTTCGATTTATTTTATCAGTCAGATCTGTATGTCGATCATGTGACTTTCTCTAGGACGAAAACGTACAAATTTGTGTGATATGTACATATATATGTACATAAAAAATTTTACTTTTCCGTTTTAGAGAAAAAGTTACATGATCGATACCCTAGACACATATATGGATTCTGTTTAGAATGGATTTCTCTTAAAATTATTCCGTTTTCTTAGAGAACTTAATAAATATTTAAAGAATAAATGAACAATTTTGGAATTCATTCCAAATAATAACACCTTATTTACACTTAGACGATGTAATGCAACGAAGGGATGGGTCATAAAATCGCGTGATCGCGAAACGAATTCAGACATCGTACAGATACACAGGTAGGTATTAATTTTATTTCGTACTTGGTAGAGCTGCACGAGACAACGATTACCGGAAATGCATGCGTAGACAGCACAGGTGAATGCGTAGAAACGTAATCAAGCGGATAATTTTTTTATATACAGCTGATCACGAAGAATTTAAAAATTCTTGGTGTCCCGTAAATGTATCATTCTGCAAGACTATCCAAAGATTTCGTCGAGCAATGACGAAAATCTTTTATCGGTACGCTCGATCAATGCTGTGTTTGACATGTCTGATCATTTAATTCTTTTTTTTCCACGGTAACAAAGTACTCTGTATACGCAGACCTGTTCAACTAAGCCAACCATTTATACTAGTTTTTTTTTTCATTAAAAGCCTAATTTCTTACCACGTAACATGTCACATATAACACAAAGATTTTTCTACTATCTCTTCACTACATCATATACATATCCATGTACGCATACATTATGTATGTATGTACAACTAAAAATACCGTTCTGTACATAAAATGTCTTTTTTTTTTCACCATAAAGAAAAGAACGTGCGAAATAAAATGTACTACGCGCCGTGCTTAGCGGCTTAACGCGCGTCAACTCCATGTAGTTTTAAACGATAACTACGTCCTATTTTCTGTCGGAGATGGCGTCTGTACAAAGACAGAGGAAATTCGTGTGCCTACGTCGTCGCTGATAGTCGCGAACACGATGCAGCCACATGAGCGTCTTGAGAAATCGCACAAGGGGGAAAGAAAAAAAAAACCCGCAGTTATCTTCTCTAATGGTACATAACGTGGAATGGATTCCGAAGAGATGTGCTCTCACGACTAACAAGATTTGATATATTTACAGTCACTGACGTGCGGAATACATCGCGAGCCCGTTTTCAAATCGCACCTTCGCACTTCAATCGCTCATCTATTTATTCTTCACGGCCTTTACATTAATAGACGGCTTTTCTATAAAAGGAACCGAGCGCTTTTGTGTCAGAATCAACGAGTAGACGTCCGGAACATTCTTTGATCTAAAAATTATATATATATAT